AAGAATGCAAAGCAGAAATTTGATCTGAATAATACATTTGTTATTCAAGTGAGATTTCTCCATTACTAGGTGGAATTACTTAAAAAAAAGGTTTAGAAAAAACAAGAATATTTGGGAAAGGAAGACAGAACTAATTATTAGTCAACAAGCTTTTCGTATAAATAAATCTAATTTACGTGGTATTCAAGACTTCAAGTCATAAAAATGATTTCAAATTCTGACCAAATTAAAGAGAAAAAGAACAGAAAAGAAAAACTAACTAACATATATTAAAGAACAGCAAAAGAAAATTGATCAATCCCATTCAAGTGACATCAAGGAAGTCAGAAGAGAGTTTCATCTAAGAGAAAAGTCAATCTATAATTAAAATAGAAAGTTTCTTGTCTAAGTAGGAAACCAATTAGTCTTCCCAACGTCATGTTGGCTTCGGAACCGATTGGTCAGACAGATTTAGCTTGAAGATCTGCCAAATTTCACTGTGAGCTCCATCACCATGTCTAATTATTCAGCATGCGACAAATCCTATCTGAATTAGTCCTCCAATTGACTAAAGCTGATTGAGTCTGGTCTTCGTTAAAAAAATCGTCTTCGCTAAAATACAGATCTGCTTGGAAAAAATGCCCTTACTAAAATGAAGATATGTCATCCATTATAAGAAAAAAAATTCAACTAACAATTTAAGTTATAAAAAAAAAATTAAAGTTACGAGTGAAGTACTGAAGAAAAGATGTGCTAGATAAAATTTAAGAATCTTTGTTATAGAAAAAAAAAAAAAAAAAAGAAAGTTATGAGTGAAATACTGGGAAGGAGATGTGCTGGATGAAATTTAAGAATTCTTGTTAAAAATAAATTAAAATTATGAACGAAGTACTGGGAAAGGGATGCACTAAAAACTTAAAGAATCCTTATGGTTCAACCAAACAAAAAGATAACAACTTAAAGTTATATTTGGTTAATAATTTTGTTATTTTGCCTTTTGCTTTTGAAAAAAAAAAAAAAGCGAAAAGCACTACTTGAATATAAAAGTCTTGTAATTTTTAAGATGATAAATGCACGAATTTTCTTTTGTATAAACTAATTACATTTTATTTTTGTCTCTAGATTCCTAGTAATTGATGACATTATTAAGCAAATTAAGGAATTGGCACAATTATATTTTTTAACAGTTTCAATACTATGATCTCTTTTCTGATTTTTTTTTTTTTGCCACAATTCTGATGCATAGTTTCAGTACAGTGAAAGTTGCTCCATTGAAATGTTTCCTAGGATGCACTTGAATATGGCTAATCTTGGGATATTTTGCAATCCAAATCTTATGTTGTATGGCTAATTTGTTTTAAAAAAAACACCTTTTTTATAATCAATTGAACTGATCCGTGAATAAAACAAATGTTAAGTTGTAATTGCATAGACATCAAAGTCTTATTCTTTGACCATATCAACAGTATTTTGTCAATCGAAAGCTATGACGTACAATATAAAAAAAATGAGAGAAAACATGTTAATTTAGCAGAAACTGTATGGAAATTCGTAATCCAACTCCTTGAAAACTTGTATATAACCAGAACCTGTGCTTGATTTTTCAATCACTCAGCCCTACGACAATGAAAACTTTGTTCCTTATTGCCAAAGTAGTTGCTATCACTTTACTACTAATTTTTATACTATTGAAGCCTCTTGAAGCTCTCGTGACATCGGATGCAGTTCCTCCACCTATAGGCTGCGATCCTTCAAACAGCAGACTCCTTGATTCTTCAATTTGCAGATTACCACCTCCACGAGCATGATCTGCGCCGACCTATGTTAGCTGCTCATGACGTTATCAATAAAAAAAAAAATCAAGACATATATGGTCTTTTCCCTCTTTTTTTGTGAATTTTTCTACTTTCAATAAATTTATAGATTATGTGCACAAGACGTTCCGGTTGTTAGAGTTCAAAATTTTTAATTTATATTTCTCCTTTTCAAATCTTGCAATGCAAAAGAGAGAATGTTATGTCTTGAATACAGCTAGGTTCCTTTTTAATTTGAACTAGAATAATTTATCCGGCTTTGTTCGAGTCATAATTTCATTAAGTATGAAAAAATATTAGATATTTGCAAAATAATACTTTATGTGAACAAATCAACAAATCCATTCAATTGAAACTTAATTGATGCATATATTAAAGATAAAAAATTAATTTTTAACGATATAAGAACTTATAACCTTAACAGCATATTCAAACATTTTAAAAAAAAAAAGCCAAACTAAAATATAACAATTTGAATTTGATTCATGAGTGTTAATATTATTCAATAGATATATTAAACTTAAATTACATTAATAATTAAGTATATTTATCTACAATTAATTAGATTCATGCATACCATAAATTTATGTATGGATAAATTTATTAATAATTAAATTTATACAATTAAAGTTTGATCGTAAAAGATTGACTCAACTGATTCATATAATTACTTTGAAAAAATTATACTTAACTAATCTAAAATTCTCATAAAGAAGAAAATATCCGTTACCTATTTCTGGTATTTGTTGTTACATAAATTTATACTTTTAATTTTTCTTAGAATCAAAGTTAATGGATTCAAATCTGATAAACTTTTTTCATAAGATCGTAAATCTTTAACCTTTTACTTATTTAACATTCCTACACTCAAACACCTGCAGGAAATAAAAAAATAAAAAAAAAAATCTTGTGGCCAAACAATCAAAGTTTGTAAATTCTATGCGGGATTCTTGCATTTATAGACCATTCATTTCCAATTGCCACATAGTTCCCATACTCAGACTCTCCTTTTCTTCCCTGAATACCAAGCGCATGACTTCTTCTTCTTCCTTGACCACCAAAACTCACATAAAAAAAAAAAATTACATTCTCTCTTCTATAAGATTTGAAAGAGAGACCTCTAAATTAAAATTTTTTACTCTAAACATACAATCTATAAATTTATTGAAAGTACAAAAAATTAACCAAAGAAATGGGAAAAGACCATGTATGTCCTGAATTTTTTTATTGAGAACCTGAGCATCTAACATAGAGCGGCGCAGATCAGGCTCATGGAGGTGGTTTGCAAATTGAAGAATCAAGGAGTCTTCGTTTTAGCATATGACAGCCTATTGGTGGCATTGGACCCGCACGCTTAGCTTCAAGAGGCTTCAGTTGTATAAAAATTAGGAGAAAAATGATAGCAACTTTGACAATAAGGAACAAAGTTTTCATTGTTGTAGGGCTGAGTGATTGAAAAAGCAAGCAGCAGGTCCTGGTTATATACAAGTTTTCAAGGAGTTGGATTACTAATTTTCCATACAATTTCTCTTAAATTTTTTTTTCTCAATTTCCTTTTCCATATACGTCATGACTTTCCATGCCATAAATGTTGACAACGGAAGATTGATATCGTCAAAGAACAAAATTTTTATTATTTTGCACAAAAAGACTGTAACATTAAAATTGAAAAGATGATGGTAAGTGTTGAGATTCAAATCTCAAACTTAAATGCCATCTCTTATCAATAATTGCATGAATATTGAATTAAGTTTGGATTCAAAAAATCAAACTTTGATATCTATACAACCTACCCAATATAAAAAAAATAAAAAATAAAAAGTAACATCACAATTGATTTGATAGCCAAATAATTAAAAAGCAATACTACCTATAACATAATCAATCTATATAAAAGTAAGTCAAACATTAATCATCTTAAAATTACATATTTTATATATGATTTTTTGAAAAAAAAAATTGTATTCTCACAACATGCTTTAATTTTTTTTTATTATTATCATTTTCAAAAGCCAAAAGCAAAATAACAAAATCATTAACCAAACATAACTTTAATTATTTTTTTAGCATATATTCCATTATCTGTATAATAGCGTTTGAAGACCGTCAATTTTAAGGAAGACCTGGGTCTATTAGTTTTAGCCATCAACAACTACGGGTGAGTTCTGTTTTGGAGGATTAATTTTGATGGAATTTGTTGTATGTTGAATAATTATACATGGTGATGGAAGTTTCAAGAGTTGACAACGGTCGGGTTGGGGTGGGGCGGGCTTTTGCTCGCCCAAAACTCAACCCAAATTTATATTCATCAAACCCAAACCTGACCCGACCCAAAATTAATAAAATATTATTTTTACATATAAATATTTAAATATATAATTATATAAATAATTAATAAAAAAAATTATATAATATCGGGTTGGGTTTGCCTAAAATCAAAACCCACCCGACCCCGATTTTTTCTTAACATTACCCGACCTGACCTGAAATCTGATTTAAAAAAAAAATAAATCAACCCTATAAGATCGAGTCGAGTCGGAACCTGCCGGGGGCGGGTTGGGTTGATGATGCTAGAAGTCTCAATGGAATTAATTTGTTGCTGCCAGTGGTTTTTTATATATAGGAGATCGCATTCTGAAAATTAGAATGGAGGTTGCAACTGTTATGATTCAAATTCTAAATTTATTAATAATTTTTAAAAAATAATTACATAAATTAATTAAATTAAGTTTCGAATTTGTTGGAGGATGTTGACGCATTTTCATACTAGTTTGACTGTCAGACCAATAGTTTCCGAAGCCAACAGGTCGTTTAGGAAGATCAATTGGTTTCCTGTAGGTTTAATTACCGTTTTAGCATTGAAGTGGTCAAGTCAAATAGAGAAAAAAAAAAAAAAAACATGAGAATGGAATATGGAACCTTTGTCATTTAATTTTATGACTTAAATCCCACATAAACATAGTAAGAAATTGGGGAACTAACCAGTTCTTGATCAAATCTTCTTCTGTCAAAACAAACACAGTCTGGATTTTACAGTAAATCAGCTCTGTCTTCCTATATATCCCTTATACTTTATTTTGAAATCAAAACGACTTGTTGCAAAACTTTTTTTTTTTGGAAATAATTCCAGCTAGTAATGGAAAAATATCTCATGAAAAATGTATTATTCATATCAAATTTGTGCTTTGCATTGTTGTACTGATATCGATGTCCTCCAAACTTGACGTGGCCTTGGGGAATGAAACGGACAGACTAGCTTTACTTGCTTTGAAGGATCAGCTTGTTGATGTGTTCTCCTGGAATTTTAATTTCATGGAATGCCTCTCCACTTTTGTGACTGGCAAGGTGTTCGATGTGGTCGTTAGCACCAGGGTGTAATCAGCTCTTTCTCAAACTCCCAATTGATTAATTTAAATGACAATAGCCTTTTCTGGAAAAATTCCCGTAGGCTTTGGTGATAATGATATGAAGAATCTCGCCAGACTGTCTCTTGCTGAAAATAATTTAATTGGGGTGCCTCACTTTATAGTTTTGGGTTTCCTTTCCAACTACTTTGGGTTGCAATTTCCAAGTAAAGGCTGTCATAACGTCTAGATCCGGGGATCTATCACTAGACATTGACTTAAGGGAGTCGCCACCGATCTTTTTTATCTAGGTGTGATTGCCCACCTAAGGAATCTGTCCTTTCAGGGAACACCTAAGTTTAAGGGTCCCTAAAAGAATAGGTTCAGGTCTGCTAACCAGAACAGGGTTCGGGAGTTCGGTTACGTGTGAGGAAGGTTATAGCACTCTCACAACGCCCATCAAAAGATCGTACCAGCTTAAATTTATGTTATTCAATGAGCCTTAAAATTTTATCGAGTAATTAACTATTGAAAATTATTCTCAATTGACTCTAATACTTTTAGCAAAAAATTGAGAAAATTTCTTCACCTCAAGAGTATGCAAGAAAAATTACTGTTTCACTTGCAGAGGCTCCATCGTCGGATTATTTTGCATAAAAAAATAAAAAGAAAAGAATGATTGTTTTTGTGTAGGGAAAATTGATACTTTCAACTTTTCCCAAACTTTAATTTCGAGAAAAATTGATATTTTCAAATTTTCCTCAAAAATTTATTTTTTTGAAAATTTATTTTTAAGGAAAATTGATACTTTCAACTTTTCCTCAAAAATTTTTTTTTTTTTGGAAATTTTGATTTTCAAGGAAAATTGATACTTTCAACTTTTCCCCAAAAATATTTTTTGGAAATTTATTTTTAAGGAAAATTGATACTTTCAACTTTTCCTCAAAAACTTTTTTTAAAAAATTTTTTTTTTTGGATTTTTTTAAAAAAAAGGAAATAAAATAATAAAGTAAAAGAAAAAAATAAAATAAAATAAAAATAAAAAAAGGTAAAACAAAAAATAAAAATAACATAAAGATAAAAGAACATCAAATAATCCTAATTTAATAAATAAAAAAAACAATAAATAAATAAAAATTAAAAAAAAACCTGGAACAGCTCGGGAAACGGCTCGGCTCGAGGAAGAGAGAACGGCTCGGAGAAGCAGCTTGGGACCCCAGCTCGGCTCGAAAGGGGGAAGACACGCGCGGGTTAAGAAGCGGGTACACGCTCGGGTCGGGTCGGATCTCAGCAAAACGTGCGGATCCTCTAGGTCATTTAAGGCAAAAACGACGTCGTTTTGGGAGGGTATATAAGGCTCTTCGCTCTATTTTTCGGCAGAAAGCTCCTCTCATCTCTCTCTCTTCTTTCTTTTTCCTCTCGCTTCTCTCTAAAAGGTCGAAGAACTCTGGTTGAATGTTCACCGAATTCTGGAAAATTTCGTCGGAATTTGGGTTTTCGTCGAAAGTTGACCGGAAGTTCGTCAAAAGTTGGTCGGTTTCTGGGATCCTTCACCGAAAATTGGGCAACTCGCCGAAAACTTCAAAGTTGGCCGAAATCTTCGTCGAAAAATGCAAATTTCACCGAAAAATTCAACCGAAATCTGGAATTTTCCAAAAATTCCCAGAAAAAAAATCGCCAAAAATCTTCAAAAAATTTCTGCTAATTCCCAGAACACTTCTAAACCTTTTCTTAGCCTTCTATACGCCCCTTTTCTCTCAAATCAGTAGCTTTGCTCACTGTTTTTTTTTTCTGTTCATTGCTTTTGTTCCAGAGGGTCCTTTTTATAGGGATTGATCAGGAGTTCCTGATCAATCCCAATTCCTCTTTGGATGGGGATTCAATCTTTAAATCCAATCTGGACTCTTCTGATTGAATCCCCATTCATAGTAGGATTCTTCAGCCTTCAATCACAGCCCCAAAAAAAAAAAAAAAAATAATAATAATCAGATAAACGAAAAAATAAAACAAAAATTAACAGATAATTAAAAATAAAATAAGATAAATCCAAAAAATATTACAAGATAAAAAAAAAATAATAATAAATAAATTATAATATAATAATAAATATATAACTATATAAATAAAATACATATAAATATTAACAGAAAAGAATAAATAAAGATATACATATATTAATACATAGTAATAATAAATGAATAATAAAATACATAAAATATAAAAGAAAAAAAATAAAAATAATACAAAATAAGAACCGAATTGGGCTTACCCATTTGGGCCATGCCCAATTGATTCGGGCCTGGACCAAATTGGGTGTCTACAGCTGCCCCTCTTTGCACATTTTCTGTGAAACAGAAATTACGCAAAGACGTAGACACCCAATCAAGACTCAACTCAACATTTTCATTTTTTGTTTTTTTGTTTTTTGTGTTTTTTTTTTCTTTTTTTGTTTTTTTTTTGTTTTTTGTTTTTGACCAAAGCTCCTCTAAACAGAGGCTCAACGACTTTGAGAAATATAAATTGCTCCTCTAAACAGAGGCACCATGACTTGGAAAAGTAAATTGCTCATCTAAACGAGGCACCACGACTTTGAAAAGTAAATTGCTCCTCTAAACAGAGGTACCACGACTTTGAAAAAGTAAATTGTTCCTCTAAACAGAGGCACCACGACTTTGAAAAAGTAAATTGCTCCTCTAAACAGAGGTACCACGACTTTGAAAAGTAAATTGCGCCTCTAAACAGAGGCACCAAGACTTTGAAAATGTAAATTGCTCCTCTAAATAGAGGCACCACGACTTTGAAAAGTAAATTGCTCCTCTAAACAGAGGCTTTGGAAAAGTAAATTGCTCATCTAAACAGAGGCACCACGACTTTGAAAAAGTAAATTACTCCTTGACATTCATGTCCAAAGGAGTTGAAAGTTGTGTTTGAAGGAATTTCAGGAGATTATGCCCAAAGGTCTTACAAATCAACCCTGATACCAAAAGACATCCTATTTCAAGGATTAGGAACTTACCTGACAAGCTTTTTCTTTTTCAATTTTGTAAAATATCTTCATATCTGTCTTCTCTATGTGGGATGTTGAAACACCCCTGCTTCCTGAGTTTATACACTATACTTTTCTGAAAGTAGTGTATGCTATGCAAATGCATATGAATTTCAATGCATGCTATGCAAATGTTGGCCAATTAATTCTTGTTCAATGTATGGTACTCAAATTTCTCAAGCTCTTTTCTTAGGCATCAAGCCCTTTGATTCTTCAGAGATCTGATTACACTGTTCTTCTAAGATCGAACCAGTGTAGCTCTCAATTGTCTTTTCCACTCACATTCTTCCTTGTTCAGTTTCTCAATACTTTGGAATAAGCTTCATCAATCGATCATCACTTGACCATCATTCAATGAATTTTTCAGCACTAACAAATTTCAAAACAAGTTTCATTTGATATCTTTTTCCCCACATTTTGCCCCACATCATTTCACTGCTTTTTCTTTCCTCACACAAAGGATTCTCATTACTTTGCCCTAAATCATGTGTGGCATTTATTTTTTTTTTTGCTTTTATTTCTTTTTCCATCTTTGAGACCTTTTACGGTGTTTTTTTTCTTTTTTCTTTTTTTTTTTCAAAAATTACCCTCCAGTGTAGAGGGTGATCCTTGGTTGGGGTTCTTCAAGAAAAAAAAATCATGATAGGCTCAAAGGGGTAGCAATGAATGGTTTTTCGAATGATAAAAGAAAGATGGCCATTTTTCATCTCAATTATGAATACTTTTCTTGAACATCATCTATTGAACAAAGCTCAATATCCTGTATAAAAGATATCTTCAAGACATATCTCTTTCACCTCTGGTAATGGCTTACCCTTTTTTTGCTTTTTTTTTGCTCAAATCATCTCCTCATATTAATGTGGATGAGTTCTCATAATTAAATCTCAGAATTATTATTATCATTGTCTAAATATTCATCATCTGAAATTTGAGAATGGGAGTATAAAGTTATGAAAGGTAACAGAGCATGGAGTAATGGTCAAGTGAAAAAGAAAAATGTAATGAAATGCATTAACTTGCCTTTATTAAGATGATAACAAATGAAATCATATTGCAAAAAGAAATCCAACAATCACTAGAAAAAAAATCCTAACATGACAAAAGAAACCTTCAACCAGCCTTATCTCTATTCTTTAAAATTGTCCCCCTATGCGATCAGGTGAAAAATCTCTATTGACATCTTGCCCCTCAATTCATTGTGACTCTCCGGACCCTTTCTGTTCTTGACTTTCACTCAGAATGCTAACATTAGGTGTTGTTGCTTTCCCTTGATCAAAACTTACCATTCCATCATTGATCAACCGTTGCACCTTATGCTTTAAAGTAGTGCAATTTTTAGTAGAATGGCCAGTAATTCTATAGTGATAGTCGCAGTGGGCTGTAGGATCATACCACTTTGGGTATGGTGGTTTAAGCGGCTCCACATGGTTGGGGGCAATCAAATGGCTATTATAGAGTTCTCGATATAACTCTGTATAAGTCATAGGGATTGGATCAAATACAGGTTTTTCTCGAGTAGTTCGTTGTTCTCGTGAACCACTTGCTGGGTTAATAGGGCAAATTTAGGTTCTTGCAGGAGCTTGAATGTTAAGGCTGTATGTAAGATCTTGGGGGCTAAAAATTGATTAGTGTGTGGATGAATAAGGTGGTTGTGGAGTTAGCTGGTATGGGTAGGATGAGGCATTATTCACAGCAGGATAGTATGGAGAGTAACCTTGGGATGGATAGGGTTGATAACCCCTGAATTGTTGTCTATCAAAACTCACAACTTGAGCTTCAGCTTCTTTCTTTTCTGATGTCTTCTTGGTTTCTCCTCCTTTTAACTTGCCATTTTTTATGGCACTTTCAATAATTTCTCCAAAGATTACCATGTCAACGAAATTCTTTGTTGCATTCCCTATCATCTTTTCATAATAGGAAGACTTCAAAGTGCTGACAAATAACACTATAATTTC